CTGTACCACCAATAGTAGCGATGGTTGATTGGGGTTTATTATACAACCTGGCCAGCTCGGAGACACGCACTCCACTTTCATACTTATCAATGATCTTTCTTCATCTCTATAGTAATTCTCACCCTTATTGCTGTAGGGTTGGCACTAGAAGCTTTCTTGGGCCCATGGTCACTTATTTTCCAGAAAAAATCACCAAAAACACTGTAATAATACGAAATGTTCCGATTGTATGCTTGGATGTTACCGTGGAGGCTGGCTGGTAAACAATGCCACCGGCGGAACATGTGAGCGTGGCTCAGGCCGCACATTGGACGCGTCTCGGACGAAGGGCGGTGAGCGGGTTTTTGGGCGGTATGCGAGGCAAAATTTTTGCGAAAAAAGCGAGCGGTATGCGGATTGTACGGTATGCGATGCGTGCGGTATGCGGGGGTCCACTGTACTATGTAAAGTACAATCATCAAAGAGTCATGTTAAAAACTGTGGTACAGGTCTCCCTCGACATCTGCGTTTTCAACTTTCGCGGGTTTCACACATTCGCGAATTCCCAACCGCCAAATTCCCAGCTGCCAAATCATATTTAAGTTTCCCGCCACCCACGAGTCCCTACTACCCTCCCTCCGACCCCTGCAACTGGCAGCCAGCCCTCCCGCCACTCAGTGTGGTGAGTGTTTTGTTTGTTCATTATTTGCTATTAAACTACAGTATAAATAATGTCAACCCATTCATGACTGCATGTTGGAATGGCCATTCGGAAAAGTACTGGACAGTGACATCATACATTTACTCTTGAACACGGCAAAGAATCAAACATTTCTGCTACTGCTAATAATAATAATAAATAACAATAATAATTATAGGAAGTAGGTTGGTAGACAGCAACCACCCAGGGAGGTACTACCGTCCTGCCAAGTCAGTGTAAAACGGAAGCCTGTAATTGTTTTATACGATGGTAGGATTGCTGGTGTCTTTTTTTTCTGTCTCATACACATGCAAGATTTCAGGTACGTCTTGCTACTTCTACTTACACTTAGGTCACACTACACATACATGTACAAGCATATTTATACACACCTCTCTGGGTTTTCTTCTATTTTCTTTCTAGTTCTTCTTCTCGTTTATTTCCTCTTACATCCATGGGGAAGTGGAACAGAATTCTTCCTCCGTAAGCCATGCGTGTTGTAAGAGGCAACTAAAATGCCAGGAGCAAGGCTAGTAACCCCTTCTCCTGTATATATTACTAAATGTAAGAGGAGAATCTTTCGTTTTTCCTTTTGGGCCACCCCACCTCGGTGGGATACGGCCGGTGTGTTGAAAGAAAGAAAGAATAATAATAATAATAATAATAATAATAATAATAATAATAATAATAATAATAATACGATAGAATTGAAGAAGGAAATTGTACAAAAATACAAGGGTTGAAGCAGTGGTGGAGGAAGTGGTTGAGGCATCGTCAGTCAGTGTGGCTTTGTTTATGCTGGAGTGAGCATTAGTCTCCATGCTCTTCCAAACATTTCACAATAATTCATTGTGTTTGGTGCTTGTAGATTGAGTGCGACTGCAGTGGTGGAGACAGTGGTTGAGGCAGCGGTTGAGGCAGTGGTTGAGGAATTGGTTGAGGCAGTGGTTGAGACAATGGCAGAGGCAGCAGTTGAGGCAGTGGTATTTAATAACATATATGTTATTAATAATATTAATACATGTTATTATTAATAACATGTATTATTATTATTATTATTATGTATGTTATTAAATACCACTGCCTCGACCACTGCCTCAACCACTTCAGTCACACTCAATCTACAAGCACTAAACACAATGAATTATTGTGAAATATTTGGAAGAGCACGGAGACTAATGCTCACTCCAGCATAAACAAAGCCAAAGTGACTGACAATGCCTCAACCACTTCCTCCACCACTGCTTCAACCCTTGTATTTTTGTGCAATTTCCTTCTTCAATTCTAACGCATTATTATTATTACAGTGGACCCCCGGTATTCGATATTAATCCGTTCCTGAGAGCTCATCGAATACCGATAATATCGAAAACCAAATCAATTTTCCTCATAAGAAATAATGGAAATCAAATTAATCCATGCAAGACACCCAAAAGTATGAAAAAAAATTTTTTTACATGAAATATTAAGTTTAATGCAATAGAATAATTACAATAACAATAAAATAATTGACACTTACCTTTAATGAAGATCTAGTGATGATTGATGGGATGGGAGGAGGAGAGAGGTGTTAGTGTTTAGAAGGGGAATCCCCTTCCATTACGACTTGAGGTAGCAAGTCCTTTTCTGGGGTTACTTCCCTTCTTCTTTTAATGCCACTAGGACCAGCTTGAGAGTCACTGGACTTCTGTCGCACAACATAACTGGCAGCCTCACCATGCCTAATCACACTACGATTCTTAAATCTTTCAAACCAACTTTTGCTGGCCTTAAATTCACTCACATCACCACTAGTTGCAGGCAATTTCTTAACCAAATCGTCATGCAACTGCCTAACTTTTTCACAAATGATCGCTTGAGAGATGCTATCTCCTGCTATCTGTTTTTCATTTATCCACACCAATAACAATTTCTCAACATTTTCTAACACTTGCAGTCGCTGTTTCGTAATCACAGCTCCACCTTTTGCAAGAACAGCTTCCTTGATTGCCGTTTTCCTGGTCACTATAGTAGAGATGGTTGATTGGGGTTTACTATACAACCTGATCAGCTCCGACACATGCACTCCACTTTCGTACTTTGCAATTATCTCTTTCTTCATTTCATAAGTCATTAGCGACTTTTTTCTTGAAGGGTTGACACTAGAAGCTTTTTTGGGGCCCATGGTGACTTATTTTGCAGAAACAAGCACCAAACACAGTGATAATATGGATAATATGGAATGTACCGAATGTCCTTAGATGCACGCACACTGGCTGGCTTGTAAACATTGGCACACAGGGGGCAGTTCAGGCCACAGGTGGACACGTCTCGTATCGAATACCAGGTTTTCAATCGAATACCGAGGAAAACTTTTTGCGATATAATGCAACGAATACCGGATTTATCGAATACCGATGCCATTGAATACCGGGGGTCCACTGTATTATTAATACGATAGAATTGAAGAAGGAAATTGTACAAAAATACAAGGGTTGAAGCAGTGGTGGAGGAAGTGGTTGAGGCATCGTCAGTCAGTTTGGCTTCGTTTACACTGGAGTGACCATTAGTCTCCGTGCTCTTCCAAACATTTCACAATAATTCATTGTGTTTGGTGCTTGTAGATTGAGTGTGACTGCTACATAATTAACTTGCTAGTACCAGCCCTTAGGTAAAGAAATTGAGAAACACGACAGAATTGAAGAAAGAAATTGTACCAAAATACGAGCAGTGTGCCGCAGTGGTTGAGGCAGGGGTTGAGGCAGTAGTTGAGGCAGCAGTTGAGGCAGTGGTGGAGGCAGTGGTTGAGGAAGTGGTATTTAATAGCATACATGTTATTCAACCATAACGTGTATGTATTTAGTACAATATTTTGTGATGTTTTCATGCATTTTATGATTATTCGTGGTTCAACAACTTAAGGAAGTAGTATTGTACTATATTTCCCTACAATATATTGGGGCACCAAACATTCGCAATTTTTCAACATTCGCGAGGCTCTTGATTCCCTAACCCTCGCGAATGTTGAAGGAGACCTGTATTATATCTTGCAATTTTATCATCGTGTTACTGCTTTTAAAAAACACTTCAGCATTCCTTTCATCTCACAGCCATTAAACTATCTCCATGTAATAATCATCACCATCTCGCATCAAATCTTAGCATAAGGATAAAATGACAATATTGGTCCAACTTCTGAAGAGAAGTTGCAGAGGTTGGTGGATGAATTTGGTAGGGTATGTAGAAGAAGAAAATTGAAAGTGAATACAGGAAAGAGTAAAGTTATGAGGATAACAAAAAGATTAGGTGATGAAAGACTGGATATCAGATTGGAGGGAGAGAGTATGGAGGAGGTGAATGTATTCAGATATTTGGGAGTGGACGTGTCAGCAGATGAGTCTATGAAAGATGAGGTGAATCATAGAATTGATGAGGAGAAAAGGGTGAGCGGTGCACTTAGGAGTCTGTGGAGACAAAGAACTTTGTCCTTGGAAGCAAAAGGGGAATGTATGAGAGTATAGTTTTACCAATGCTCCTGTATGGGTGTGAAGCATGGGAGATGAATGTTGCAGTGAGGAGAAGGCTGGAGGCAGTGGAGATGTCATGTCTGAGGGCAATGTGTGGTGTGAATATAATGCAGAGAATTCGTAGTTTGGAAGTTAGGAGGAGGTGCGGGATTGCCAAAGCTGTTGTCCAGAGGGCTGAGGAAGAGTTGCTGAGGTGGTTCGGACATGTAGAGAGAATGGAGCGAAACAGAATGACTTCAAGAGTGTATCAGTCTGTAGCGGAAGGAAGGCAGGGTAGGGGTCGGCCTAGGAAAGGTTGGAGGGAGGGGGTAAAGGAGGTTTTGTGTGCGAGTGGCTAGGACTTCCAGCGGGCATGCGTAAGCGTGTTTGAGAGGAGTGAATAGAGACGAATGGTTTTTAATACTTGATGTGCTGTTGGAGTCTGAGCAAAGTAACATTTATGAAGGGATTCAGGGAAACCGGCAGGCCGGACTTGAGTCCTGGAGATGAGAAGTACAGTGCCTGCACTCTGAAGGAGGGGTGTTAATGTTGCAGTTTAAAAACTGTAGTGTAAAGCACCCTTCTGGCAAGACAGTGATGGAGTGAATGATGGTGAAAGTTTTTCTTTTTCGGGCCACCCTGCTTTGGTGGGAATTGGCCAGTGTGTTAATATAATATAACATAATATTGGTCCAACTATCTGATAAGCTCTCAGGAAGTGGGTAATTATAAACTAATGTTCTTGTAGTAAACTGTGTTAAAGAATACCTTCTATGTGGGGACAAAATGCACCCCTAAATATTTTACAGACAGCTCATGTTCAATGGCAAAATTACCTTTATTTCCATCTTCATCCTTGGGTTGCTTGGGTCTCAAGCCCCGGGCTATGGTGTTTTGCATGATACACACCAGCTCATTACAAGAAGCCAGACACCTTTCTGCCTCTGGTATAGAAACTTGCTCTCTTCTCATGATAGCTGCTAAGGCAGCGTAAAAGAGGCGCATGAAACGAATCCTTGAAAAGAGAGCTACTGCATCTTCGTGCTGTGAAAAAAGATAAATAGAGCGCTTCAATATGAGAGAGTTGTAATTCAATAATCCAACTAAAGTTGAGGTTACAGCATGCAAAGATCATTAAAATAAATGGCTCTGAAGACTGAAAAGTACATTTCAGTGTTAGCTGCTGATAACCCTCTAGAAATACAAACCTCACCTAAGATTCCTCCTCCCAAGGAAGCTTCCTTAACTAACCCTTTACTATTCCACCATTGAAATAACTGAGAACCTTGGATGTGCTTATAGTATATTACAGACTGGTCATTTCTAAGATTTCCTTTTTACTCCAATGACACTTGCCATAAGTTTCATAGTTATGATTTTTTTTAAAAAGTAACCCTGTTATTACTCCTATTAACGAGCGATTGGGAATTACTCTCCCCAAGTCCCATACCACAATGCTTCACATCTCAACTTCTCACTGGTCTCAGGAAGGAGACAGGGTTCTCTGGTGGTTACATGATTACGGCACTGTCAACAATTTCCCGTGCCCAGAGATAGAATGAGAATGCCAAACTAACCTGCTTTTGCATTTTAGGATCCCATGGTTCACCTTGACGATTCCTGGTAGCCTTTACTGCCCTCTGTAGCTCTTCTTCAACTTCCCTCATCATACCTCCTGCACGCACCTCAGACACTTCAGAACAAACTCCATAGCCATAGAGTGTTGGTTGGAAATCTTCTTCCTCAAATACGCCAGCACTTGAAAAAAGATTTAATGGCGATGAAACAGATAAAAGCAACACATTTACATCACCACCATCGTATTCTCAACACATCTACATCACCACCATCAGTATCTTCAACACATCTACATCACCACCATCAGTATCTTCAACACATCTACATCACCATCAGTATCTTCAAAACAATATCTATTCCAACACTTTGAGAATTTCTCAGAACAGATTTTCCTTTAAGATTTCTATTTTACCGGTTAATGAAAAATGATGATCAATCCCCTATAAAAAAAATCTATTATAATATGTACTCTGAAGAGATTTTACGAGGATAGAGAGGCTCAAGTTAGAGTATGTAGGAAAGAGGGAAATTTTTTCCCAGTAAAAGTAGGCCTTAGACAAGGATGTGTGATGTCACCGTGGTTGTTTAATATATTTATAGATGGGGTTGTAAGAGAAGTAAATGCGAGGGTCTTGGCAAGAGGCGTGGAGTTAAAAGATAAAGAATCACACACAAAGTGGGAGTTGTCACAGCTGCTCTTTGCTGATGACACTGTGCTCTTGGGAGATTGTGAAGAGAAGTTGCAGAGATTGGTGGATGAATTTGGTAGGGTGTGCAAAAGAAGAAAATTAAAGGTGAATACAGGAAAGAGTAAGGTTATGAGGATAACAAAAAGATTAGGTGATGAAAGATTGGATATCAGATTGGAGGGAGAGAGTATGGAGGAGGTGAACGTATTCAGATATTTGGGAGTGGACGTGTCAGCGGATGGGTCTATGAAAGATGAGGTGAATCATAGAATTGATGAGGGAAAAAGAGTGAGTGGTGCACTTAGGAGTCTGTGGAGACAAAGAACTTTGTCCTTGGAGGCAAAGAGGGGAATGTATGAGAGTATAGTTTTACCAACGCTCTTATATGGGTGTGAAGCGTGGGTGATGAATGTTGCAGCGAGGAGAAGGCTGGAGGCAGTGGAGATGTCATGTCTGAGGGCAATGTGTGGTGTGAATATAATGCAGAGAATTCGTAGTTTGGAAGTTAGGAGGAGGTGCGGGACTACCAAAACTGTTGTCCAGAGGGCTGAAGAAGGGTTGTTGAGGTGGTTCGGAAATGTAGAGAGAATGGAGCGAAACAGAATGACTTCAAGAGTGTATCAGTCTGTAGTGGAAGGAAGGCGGGGTAGGGGTCGGCCTAGGAAAGGTTGGAGGGAGGGGGTAAAGGAGGTTTTGTGTGCGAGGGGCTTGGACTTCCAGCAGGCATGCATGAGCGTGTTTGATAGGAGTGAATGGAGACAAATGGTTTTTAATACTTGACGTGCTGTTGGAGTGTGAGCAAAGTAACATTTATGAAGGGATTCAGGGAAACCGGCAGGCCGGACTTGAGTCCTGGAGATGGGAAGTACAGTGCCTGCACTCTGAAGGAGGGGTGTTAATGTTGCAGTTTAAAAACTGTAGTGTAAAGCACCCTTCTGGCAAGACAGTGATGGAGTGAATGATGGTGAAAGTTTTTCTTTTTCGGGCCACCCTGCCTTGGTGGGAATCGGCCAGTGTGATAATAATAAAAATAAATGTACTCTTAAAACTTTGGTCAAACAAATTTTGGAAATATATGGCAAAATCTGCTCGGCCAAATGATTCAGAAACATTGGACAAAGATCATGGGTAAGGAAACTGTTATTGTCATAATCACAGTGAAACAATTTTGTTTTTATCCACTTCAATCCCCATTATTTACCACCCACTCTTCACTATTAATATGTTATATTGAGGATTTACATATGAAATAATGATGATATAAGCAACTATTGGTAGAAAGATGGGATAATGAGAGTATAGGTAATGAGGTTGAAGAGGAATGGAGTAGATTTAAGGATGTAGTGTTAGTGCGTTCAGAAGTTTGTGGATATAGGATGGGGAAGGGGGGGGGGTGCATGAGGGTAGAGACACAATTGGTGGAATAAAGTAGAGAGAGTGGTAAGAGAAAAAAAGTTAGAATATGAGAGGTTTTTACAAAGCAGATGTGATATAAGGAAGGAAGAGTACTTTGAGAGAAAATGAGAGGTTTAGAGAGTGGTAAGGGAAAGTAAAAGAAGAACAAATAAGAGTGGGTGACGTACTATCAAAAAGTTTTGCTTTGAATAAGAATGTTTTGGAGTGAGATTAATAAGGTAGGAAAGCCTAGGGAATAAATAGAACTGACAGTTTAAAACAAATGAGGAGAGTTATCAGAAGATTCGGAGATAGTATTAGGAAGATTGGGGGGGGGGATATTTTTGGGGAACTGTTAAATGTTGATGAAGAGAGGGAAGCTGTGATTTTATGCATTGGCCAAGGAGGTATAATATCCTTCAGGAATTGATGCTGGTTTAACCCTTTGAGGGTCGACAGGCCCTCTCCGAAACTTGTTCTCAGGGTTGGCAAAATTTAAAAAAAAAAAAATTATTTTTTCTTATGAAAAGATAGAGAATCTTTTCCCGATCATAATGACACCAAAAGTATGAAATTTGATGGAAAACTTACGGAATTATGCTCTCGTGAAGTTAGCGGTCTTGACGATGTTTATGCATTGGCAATTTTGCCCACTTTGAGCCCCATTTTCGGCCAATTCCAATGTACTAGTCGACAAAAATCATAACTATTTCACTAGAACTCCATTTTTTCTATCGAATGAGTACAAGAAACCACCCATTTACCAATTTCAACTATCCAATAAAATGGTCAGAATTTAGCAATTTTGCCAATTTCACACAAATTTCAAAAGACGAAAATTTCTGAATAGGGTCCAGAATAAACAAGAAAGACATTACTGGCACTAAAATAACAAGTTCTCTGTTTGTTAGTCAAATCCCCAGGCCCCTCTTATATTTCTTTGGCTTTCCACTTTGATTTTTTATTATTACAAAAAATAGAAGATTTACTGTTATGCAGACTGCTGCATTAGTGAAGAAATGGTATAAATAATATCAGTGTACTTGTGAAAGAATATTAGACACACCAGTATTGGACGCTTGGCATGATTTGTTTACTTTTGAACTTTGATAAAAATCGAACATTTCTGCTACTTTGCGCTCAATTTCAAGGTACTTTTCATTGTAAAATCAGTCAAAATCATCTCAATTTCTGTAATATGTCTTCCATTCTATAAAATGAGACCAAGAAAAGTAGAATACAACAATAAATACCATACGAAAATACAGTGCAAAGTCGCTGTTTTATTCCAAAAACACGGTCAGTTTTTTTTTTCTCATTACGCACTGTGTCCTGCAGGATTTTTTTTTTATACTGCGCACACTGACCACATAGACCCACCCATTCTTTCATATGTAGGCCTACCAGCTTTCTCTCACCAGATTTGAGGGCGCTAGAATTTAGGCATACTAGTACGTCAAAAACCCTGGGTCGTAAGCCATACTGGTACGGCCGAAACCCTCAAAGGGTTAACTGACTCAGAGTAAGGTACAATTTATACCCACCGTCCACGAGCAGTGTTATGAACCACTCTGTAACTGTTATATACTGCCATAAAATTTGTTCCTTAAATTCTGATACCCTCATACTACTTTAGTTACTTTTGTATTTCACTTTTGTATATTCCTACTACTACATTTGCTTATCTCACAGGTATCAACTGTCTTAATTCTTCAATTACTACTGTACCTTATAGTTTTAATTGTTTTTATTCACAACAAGATCTCTATTATTATTTCTTTACTTTTTTGTATATTTGTATTTTACTTTATCACTGCCCTATTTTTACCATTTATAATTTTCTTATTATCTGTTGTTACAATTTTATTTTATTTTACTTTACTTTTTTTCATATCTGATGTTGCCAAACATTTCCATTTATAATTTCATATCTGTTGTTTACCATATCACTGCTAAAATCCATATAGTCTTTAATTTAGCACTGTGTACATTTTATTCTACTATCTATTGTAAAGAACCTATGTTAGGTTTAGCGCAATTACAGGTCATAGTCTAGTGCTACATTATCTTATAATTTCGTTTTAACAGCTTTATACACAGATAATACTCTAGTATTAGTTGTAGGTAGTAAGTTGGTAGACAGCAACCACCCAGGGAAGTACTACCGTCCTACCAGATGACTGTGAAACAGAAACCTGTAACTGTTTTGCATGATGGTAGGATTGCTGGTTTCTTTTTCTGTCTCATAAACACGCTAGATAACAGGGATATCTTGCTACTCCTACTTACACCTTGGTCACACTTCACAGACATGCACATGCATATATATATACATACATCTAGGTTTTTCTCCTTTTTCTAAATAGCTCTTGTTCTTCTTTATTTCTTCTATTGTCCATGGGGAAGTGGAAAAATCTTTCCTCCGTAAGCCATGCGTGTCGTATGAGGCGACTAAAATGCCAGGAGCAATGGGCTAGTAGCCCCTTCTCCTGTAGACATTTACTAAAAAAGAGAAGAAAAACTTTATAAAACTGGGATGCTTGAATGTGTGTGGATGTAGTGCGGATGACAAGAAAGAGACGATTGCTGATGCTATGAATGAAAAGAAGTTGGATGTCCTGGCCCTAAGCGAAACAAAGCTGAAGGGAGTAGGGGAGTTTCGGTGCGGGGAAATAAATGGGATTAAATCTGGAGTATCGGAGAGAGTTAAAGCAAAGGAAGAGGTAGCAGTAATGTTGAAGGATCAGTTATGGAAGGAGAAAAGAGAATATGAATGTGTAAATTCAAGAATTATGTGGATTAAAGTAAAGGTTGGATGCGAAAAGTGGGTCATAATAAGCGTGTATGCACCTGGAGAAGAGAGGAATGCAGAGGAGAGAGAGAGATTTTGGGAGATGTTAAGTGAATGTATAGGAGCCTTTGAACCAAGTGAGAGAGTAATTGTGGTAGGGGACCTGAATGCTTAAGTAGGAGAAACTTTTAGAGAGGGTGTGGTAGGTAAGTTTGGGGTGCCAGGTGTAAATGATAATGGGAGCCCTTTGATTGAACTTTGTATAGAAAGGGGTTTAGTTATAGGTAATACATATTTTAAGAAAA